CCCGGACCCTCCCCCCGCAGAGGACGGCTGGACAGTTGTACGGAAGAAAAAGAAATGAGGAGGGACCCCCCCCCCCATGGCACGAGGGGGCTTCGCCGCAGGGATCTGGTCAGGGGAATAAGCCCGGTGTAGCCACAATGTGTTGCTATGGCAACAGCTGGGGGGGGAATCCCTGGAGTGGAGGGGGAGTGTTAGTCTGGTGGGGGGGGGAGCCAGCGCCCCCAGAGGTGATGTGCCCCATTCCCCGCCCCCCTGAGGCAGCCAGTCCATGCCCTGGGGACAGATGGGAGCTGGTGCCCCCTAGAGGGGATGGACCCCCCCGACCCCATTCCCTGCCCCCCTGAACCAGCCAGTCCCCGCCCTGGGGTCGGGTGGGAGCTGGCACCCCATTCCCCGCATTTTGGTTGAAAATGAAACGACGGGAAGAAAAGGAAACCTGTATTACGAAATCCGCTGACGGAGCTTTAACAACGCCCGGCTCCCAAGGACGCTAGAAAATCTCGGGGTGGGGGGGAGATTGGGGCGCCCCCGTGGATGCGAGGCTGCCCCCTAGTGGCCAGCCACTGCATGTCAGCAACAATAAAATAATGTCTGCTAAGCGTGTCCACACCTGGTGAGCGGCGTGAGACGAGTGGATAGGACGGGAGGGAGCCGGCCCGTAGATCCCGCGGGGGGGGGGGTTACACCGGTACCGGCTCGGCCTGTACTTGTGGGGGAGGGACAGGCCCCATTCCCTGCCCCCCAGTCAGCCAGTCCCCGCCCAGGGGAGGGATGGGAGCCGGTGCCCCCTGCGGGGGCTTGCCAGGAGCCCAGACGTCCGGGGGCCAAGCGCTGAGGCCATGCCCCGCGAGGGGGTGTCTCAAAGTGCCTGAGGACCGTTCAAGTATCGTTCGTTGGGGGGGGTCAGGTCCAGTCCAGCCCCCCGGCGCCGTCAGGTGCCCTCGGCCCCCTCCTCGGCCTCGAGGATGGGCCCGGGGGAGGCGGGCGGCTCCCCTCGCCCGGCCCGGCCCAGGGCCTCCATCCAGCGCCGCTGCAGCCCCTCGGACTCGGCGCTGAACTGCCAGCGCAGGTGGCTCTGGTGGATGGCGAACGCGTGACGCCGGTCGAGCCGCGGCCCCGCGTCCGGGGCCGTCACCTCGAAGCCGATCAGCGGGAGGCTGCGCTGGGCCTTCACGTCCTGGGGGGCGGAGAGACGGGGGTCAGGGGAGGGGGGCAGAGCTGGGCTAGCAGGGGCTGCAGGTCGGGCGTGGGGGCGAGTGGGCGAGGGGCGTGGCGAGGGTCGAGGGGGCGTGCGGGTCGGGCCAGGGGGGCGACGGGCAGGGGCGTGCGGGTCGGGCGT